ATCGACCTGAACAATGTCTTTCATGTTCGTTCTGTTCCATTTTTCCTGGTTTGGTCTTCAACCCGCCTCCTGCTGCAAGACGAGGCGGAAACGGAAACGGTCCACGAGATCGCCAAAAAACACCGGTTAGGTCGAGCCCTGGCCTGTCCGTCGGGGGCCAACGGGCAAGGGGCGCGCGGGCGTCCTCGGCAAGGAAAAAAAAAAAAAACGCAGGGCCAGCAAAAAAGTCAAGGGGCAGCCCGGCAGACTCCCGGCGCCGCGGCCGAGGCGCGCCACACAGCACCGCGGGCGCCCCCCTCCCCAAGGGGCGGCGTCGGACACGCGCGGCGGCGCGGGCTCGGATACGGTGCAGAACGAAGCGTGAGGTGAGCGTAGGTACGACGGGTTCGCGTCGTGACGACTTCGGCGTCGGTCGTGGCCGGAAAACACGTCCGCATCCGGGGCCTCGCGGGCAGGGCCCCTGGGCGTGTGTTTCGCGGATGCCCCGCGCGCGACGTATCCGCACGATCGCGGATCGACGGGATCGCGCCCAGGAACCCAGACCGCGAGGGTGCGGACACGGATGTATTCGCCGCTCGTGAGCCGATCTCCCCGACACCTCGTAGACTGCTCAAACTCGAACGATCCGCGGCGTTCCCATCGCTGGACCGTCGGACACCGGATGCTTCTGGGCGGGCCACTGGCGGCGCTCTCAACCTTGCACGCCCGCGGCGGGGTCGCCGCCGCGTCGACGCGACGCGAGCCGGCCGTCGGTAGGCGCCAGGAGTCTCAGGGCATGCGGACTGAGCACGAGACGGCGTCGGGCGTCGCCAGAGGAGGGCTGCACGCGCCCAGAGGCCCGCCGTGCGCGCGCGAGGCCGGCGAGGGGGAACGAGGCAGAAGCTTTGGGGCCCTGCGGTGGCAGACCGTGGGGCGACCTCGGGGTCCCCGGAGACCTCACCGCACGGTTTGGGGACCTCGGAGGCCCCAGTCGCCCGAGGCGTCCTCGGAGAACGGCCCTTCGGCCCACCCCGAAGCCCCACCGACTCGCCGGACAGTGTGGTCACCGCACCGTTCTGGGACCTCCGAGACAGGGGGGGGGAGGAAGAGGAGGAGCAGTCGCCTGGCAGAGGGCCCGTAGCGCGCGAGAGCACGCCTCCCGCAACGAGACAATACGGCGCGCTCCGTCCTGCAAGCGCCCCGTGAGACGTGCCCTCGCCGCCCAGCCCTCGAAGGAAAAAAACGGTATCAGCAGAAAATTTCGGAGCTCCACGCGGATTTCTTGGATCTGCGCTGAGCCCCATCCCCGGCGCGAGGAGCGCGCCAGGGGCGGCGCTGGAGGCGAATCCAGGGGGATGCGGCGATCCAAGAAATCCGCACGGAGCTCTGAGACTTTACATCTGATTATGCCGTTCTGTCTTCTCCTCTTAGGGAAGCCCGCAACCCTGGTCATGCTCACATCTTCATCGAACCCTGGGGCGCTCCGCCGCGTGGATCGGCGACAGGCCCCCGATAGCGAATCTGCACGTTCCTGGGCGGGGTGGGCTGTCTGGCCCCTATCGGCGATGTATCGTCGATGCTTGATGTTCCCCCCGCCCTGAGCCTGTCCCCCCCTGTCGTTGCCCCAACCCCCCCGGCCCTTACCGACCAGCCCGCCCCGCAGCTCTGGCATTGTACTCAGAGCCCGTGGGTGGCCGCGCCACGCGCCCCTGGGAACGACCCGTTGCCCTGAGCGGCCCCGGCCCGCTTCTTCTTCTTCCTCCTCCTCCTCCTCCTCCTCCTCCTCCTCCTCCTCCTCCTCCTCCTCCTCCTCCTCCTCCTCCTCCTCCTCCTCCTCCTCCTCCTCCCTCCTCTCCTCCTCCTCCTCCTCCTCTCCTCCCCTCCTCCTCCTCCTCCTCCTCCTCCTCCTCCTCCTCCCTCCTCTCCTCCTCCTCCTCTCCCCCTCCTCTCCTCCTCCTCCTCCTCTCCTCCCCCTCCCCTCCCCCTCCCCCTCCCCCTCCTCCTCTCCTCCTCCTCCTCCTCCTCCTCCTCCTCCTCCTCCTCCTCCTCCTCCTCCTCCTCTCCTCCTCCTCCTCCTCCTCCTCCTCCTCCTCCTCCTCCTCCTCTCCTCCTCCTCCTCCTCCTCCTCCTCCTCCTCCTCCTCCTCCTCTCTCCTCCTCCTCCTCCTCCTCCTCCCCTCCTCCTCCTCTCCTCCTCTCCTCCCCTCTCCTCCTCCTCCCCCTCCCCTCCCCCTCCCCCTCCCCCTCCTCTCTCCTCCTCTCCTCCTCCTCCTCCTCCTCCTCCTCCTCCTCTCCCTCCTCCTCCTCCTCCTCCTCCTCCTCCTCCTCCTCCTCCCCTCCTCGTCCTCCTCCTCCTCCTCCTCCTCTCCTCCTCCTCCTCCCTCCTCCTCCTCCTCCTCCTCCTCCTCCTCCTCCTCCTCCCCCCTCCTCCTCCTCCTCCTCTCCTCCTCTCCTCCTCCTCCTCCTCCTCCTCCTCCTCCTCCTCCTCCTCCTCCTCCTCCTCCTCCTCCTCCTCCTCCTCCTCCTCCTCCTCTTCGCTTCGTTGTCTCTTTCCCCCCCCCTGCATGGTGGCACAATTCGCTCAACGGCAGCCCCGTTCTGCTTCCTCGCCAGCGCAGTGACTCTGCTTAGCCGCCGACGAAAAAGTGCTCAGAGCCCGTGGTGTCGAGTATGCGGGCGGGGGGCGCGAGGGCCACCTCGGCCGCCCGTGGGTCCGCCGCTGCGTCCCCTCTCGGCACGCGGAAGAGCGCCCCAGGGCCCGAGGAAGACGCGAACATCAACGGGGGTGCGGGATTCCTGGCGGGAAATACAGTCGGGGTTGACTGGAGAGGACACGCGAGAGGACACAAGACCCTTTCCGAGGTCCACACTGCCACAGGGATGTAGGGAGGGCACGGGTCGCGAAACACAGGACACGAGGGTACCCTTGACTTGCCAGGGTCGACCTACGAATCGGCCTCGACTGTAGAACATCAGACAAAATTTCTCACGGGACTCCTTGCGGGATTCCTGGCGGGATTCCTGCCTGCAGGAGCGTCAGCTCCCGGAGCCCCGCTCGGATTTCTTGAATCTGCGCGGGACCCCCACCCCTGCCGCGCGGAGCGCGCCAGGGGCGGCGCCGGAGGCGCCGCCAGGGGGGGCCCGGCGCCGATCCAAAAAATCCGGGCGGAACTCCAAAAACTTATGTTTGGAGGAGGAGGAGGAGAAGGAGGAGAAGGAGGAGGAGGAGAATGATCCCCCCCGCGCTCTGTTTCTCAGTTTCCTAGTGTCTGATGCCAGAGCCGTCAGGAGTCTGACTGCACACGAGCGTGGGTAAGCAGAGGCACGGCGGCTCAAATCTCACCCGATATGAAGGAACGAAAATAAAGGCTTGGGTTAGGCCACGGGGAGCCGAAAAACTAATTACGAGCGCGCATAGATCATTCACGTACAACTTCCATGATCCCCCCCGCGCCCTGTGTCTCAGTTTCCTAGCGTCTGATGCCAGAGCCGTCAGGAGTCTGACTGCACACGAGCGTGGGTGAGCAGAGGCACGGCGGCTCAAATCTCACCCATATCACCCATAACATGATGTGTCACCTATTCAGCTGTGTTGGGAGGCGCAGCACACGCTTGGCACGGGCACTGCGAGAGAGCGGCGACAGCGGCGGCATTGCGCGGCCTCACAGAGTCTAGCTATTCAGCGTGTTCAACTGCTCCTCCAACCAGCAGCGCAGCGCTAGGGGAAGCCGAGCGTAGTCTTTCACCATAATCATGCATGACTTCTTACAGCGCTGCACTTCTTGTGGTAGACATCCAAAAAACACGACGTTGCATAAAGTAACGGTTGCGATGCCTTGATATATGTCCAGGAAGAACCTGTAGGCGCACCTGGTAATTATCCGTGTCCTGGCCGAACGGTCGGCCTTGCATACCAAATCTCACACTTTCACGATGAGTAAAATGCCACAAGCTGTCATCCGCCACGACGGCTAGAATCTGAAGAAAATTGGCCATACAGTCAAAACACTGAGTTTTCCGCAAGATGGAACTGCGGCGGAACTTCGAGCCCTGGTGGAGGTCTGACCTGCGCGCGCCCCCGCGCCACGCAGGGTCGACTCCCATCGTCGGCGGGGCCGGGCCACCGAGACGAGGATGGTAGAACAAAAAGGCCTCGATCAACTTCTGGCCGATGCCCGCGTCGTAGCCCAGCATGCACCTGTGGGTCATGAAGTCGAAGGTGGCCACATTGAAGTCCTGCACTCTGTCGGTGTTCAGCCCGTAATCGTCGACGTATCCGACCAGGCTTTGATATGGATCTCGCCGTTGTGTCCAGGTTCGTTCTCCTGCCGAGCTTCTTTCTGGAACCAAAACGTGCTGCGTACCTGGCTCCTTTGCCATCCTCGCATGGTGGGGCTCGCACTCCTGCATGCGCACCTGCACGAACGGGTTGCCATCCTCCTCCGAGGTCGCGCCGCCCGAAGCGCCCAGACGGCTGGCCCTCTCCGCCGCCTCGTCCGACAGGACTGGCGGGGAGGGGCGATCGCGATACCGTTGTAGAGTAGCTCGCCACCTCTTTCTTGGTGGCCAGAGGTCCGTCTGCCAACGAGGCGCCTGAACTTCCCTCTCGTCCGTCATCGCTGCTCTCCTCGCATTCCTCACCAAGGACATGACGAGCCCAATCCAATACAGAAGTAGAGCATTGTGGAACTTCATTTCTGGCCGAAACGGCTACGGAGCCCTGCTGGCCTCGAGCGAGACGACATATATCAGGCGTAACGCTCAACTCGACTGCATCCCCTCGCCGCAGACCAGGGTCCCTCGAAGGCTTGTCGGAGCTGTTGAACTCACTCGGGACCCATCTGAATCCCACGAAAAGGTTACGAGACAACGACAGCGCCGAAGCTCGCCGAACCTGAACCAGAAGAGGAAAAGTACGTGCCCTGGATCTCGCAAAGCTGAGCGCGACTCCGAGGTTATCCCCAAGCGCCAGAAGGCGACAACTATGAACTCCAGGTTCCAGAGCGACGTTAGCGATCCCAA